AAAGCAGCTGAGGCAGGTTGATGAGTAAAGCCTCTCTCCTGCTGCAGCTCATCAGTGCTGAACAGCGGCCATTTTCTACATCCTCCTCCTCCTCCTCTTCCTCTCCCTCTCCTCCTGTCATCCTGCTCTTCCTCCTCCTCCTCCTCCTCCTCCTCCCTCCTCTTCCTCCCCCTCTCTGTCCTCTCTTTGTCTCCGTCCGTCCTTCGTCCTTTGCGTCCTGTTTCCTTTTGTGATGTGTCTCCCTCCATCACCGCGGTGCTTTTGTGTGTGCGGCGCCGCGGCCCAGATCCTGCCCCCGCCCCAATGCCCTGACGCCCTCCCGCCGCGCGCCGTGCCCCCGCCGCCCGCTGGTGAGGGTGCGAGGGCAGGTGCGGGGCAGGTGCGGGGGCGGGTGCGGGGCAGGGGCAGACGGGGTAAAAGAGGAAAATGGAAGCAGCACTCACCCCATCGCTGTCGTCTGTGAGACAGAACAGAGCACGGCACAGGAGTCATGTGACCTGACACAGCCAATCACAGAGCAGAGGAGCAGTCATGTGACCTGACACAGCCAATAAGAGGAGAGGCAGGGGGAGGGGCTCCAAACCTGCCTCACACCACGACTGAACCAAGTCTAACCCAGAGACTAAACCAAGACTAAACCAGAATTGAACCAGGACTAAACCAGGACTAAACCAGAATTGAACCAGGACTAAACCAGAATTGAACCAGGACTAAACCAGAGACTAAATCAAGACTAAACCAGGACTAAACCAGAACTAAACCAGAACTAAACCAGGACTAAACCAGGACTAAACCAGAGACTAAACCAGAGACTAAACCAAGACTGAACCAGGTCTAACCCAGAGACTAAACCAGGACTGAACCAGAACTAAACCAGGACTAAACCAGAGACTAAACCAGGACTAAACTGGGACTAAACCAGGACTAAACCAGTTTTCCTGTGGATCTGTTTAAAGCTCTTGGATCTTTAGACTCTTTAATCAGGATTAAGATTAAACACAGACCAGAGACCAGAGACCAGAGACCAGACCAGAAGACCAGACCAGAGACCAGACCAGAGACCAGAGACCAGACCAGAGACCAGAGACCAGAGACCAGACCAGAGACCAGACCAGAGACCAGACCAGAGACCAAAGACCAGACCAGAGACCAGAGACCAGAGACCACCAGAGACCAGAGACCAGAGACCAGAGACCAGAGACCAGAGACCAGAGACCAGAGAGACCAGACCAGACCAGACCAGACCAGAGACCAGAGACCAGAGACCAGAGACCAGAGACAAAGACCAGACCAGAGACCAGAGACCAGACCAGAGACCAGAAGACCGACCAGAGACCAGAGACCAGAGACCAGACCAGAGACCAGAGACCAGAGACCAGAGACCAGAGACCAGAGACCAGAGACCAGAGACCAGAGACCAGAGACAGAGACAGAGAGACAGAGACCAGAGACCAGAGACCAGAGACCAGACCAGAGACCAGACAGACAGAGACCAGAGACCAGACCAGAGACCAGAGACCAGAGACCAGACCAGAGACCAGACCAGACCAGAGACCAGAGACCAGAGAGACCAGAGACCAGAGACAGAGACCAGAGACCAGACCAGACCAGACCAGAGACCAGACCAGAGACCAGACCCAGACCAGAGACCAGAGACCAGACCAGACCAGACCAGAGACCAGACCAGACCAGAGGACAGAGACCAGACCAGAGACCAAAGACCAGACCAGAGACCAGAGACCAGACAGAGACAGAGACCAGAGACCAGACCAGAGACCAGAGACCAGAGACCAGAGACCAGACCAGAGACCAGAGACCAGAGACCAGAGACAGAGACCAGAGACCAGACCAGAGACCAGAGACCAGAGATCAGAGACAGACCAGAGACCAGAGACCAGAGACCAGAGACCAGACCAGAGACCAGACCAGAGACCAGAGACCAGAGATCAGACCCAGAGACCAGACCAGAGACAGACCAGAAGACCAGAGACCAAGACCAGAGACAGAGACAGAGACCAGAGACCAGAGACAAAGACACCAGACCAGAGACCAAGACCAGAGACCAGAGACCAGAGACCAGAGACCAGAGACCAGAGACCAGAGACCAGACCAGACCAGAGACCAGACCAGAGACCAGCCAGACCAGAGAACAGACCAGAGACCAGAGACCAGACCCAAAGCGGAACAGGAACAATCAAATTATCAGTTTATCACTCTAAAAGAGAGAAGCACATTTTGGTCTGAACCAGGACTAAACCAGGACTAAACCAGAACTAAACCAGAACTAAACCAGGACTAAACCAGGACTAGACCAGGACTAAACCTAAAGAGAAGCACATTCTGGACGGTTCAGCTAAAAACGTAGGTCCCATGAAACGATTGTGAATCTTCTCCCCTCATCAAACACACACACACACACAACACACACAACACACACACACACACACACAAACACACAACACACACACACACAACACACACACACACACACACACACACACACACACACACACACACACAACACACACACACACACACACAACACACACACACACACACACACACACACACAACACACACACACACACACACACACACACACAACACACACACACACACACACACACACACACACAACACACACACACACACACACACACACACACACACACACAACACACACACACACACACACACACACACACACACACACACACACACACACACACACACACACACACACACACACACACACACACACACACACACACACACAACAACACACACACACACACACACACACACACACACACACAACACACACACACACACAACACACACAAACACACACACACACACACACACACACACACACACACACACACACACATACACACACACACACACACACACAACACACACACACACACACAACACACACACACACACACACACACACACACACACACACACACACACACACACACACACACACACACACACACACGACACACACACACACACACACACACACACACACACACACACACAAACACACACACAAACACACAACAACACACACACACACACACACACAACACACACACAACACACACACACACACACACACACACACACACACACACACACACACACACACAACACACACACACACACACACACACACACACACACACACACACACACACACACACACACACACACACACACACACACACACACACACACAACACACACAACACACACACACACACACACACACACACACACACACACACACAACACACACACAACACACACACACACACACACACACACACACACACAGCTCATCACACAGTCCACAGGAGTGTTTGGACATGAGAACTTTCCAAAGACATACATGTATGTGCCACCATACCAGGCCCTATGTCCCCCCCCCTCCCGGCACAGTTCAGCAAAGTGTCGCTGACGAAAACTCACCAAATTTTGCACAAAATTCAAGAAAATCAAAATAGGAATTTAAATATTCTCCACATCAAAATACACAAAACAAACAAACAAACAAACAAAGGCGCGTCAGCGACAGCGTCGGCGACAGCGACGGCAACGGCGCCCCCTGCAACATCAAAATACACTGCACCTATGGCTACACCTGAAAGATCGACTTTGTCATAAACAAATGAAATCGGGGTGGTGGATCGGTCTGGTCATTCCAAACTAAAAAATATATTAAGTGGTTGCTAGGCAACCAACAAGAAGTCGGCCATATTGGACTAATTGTGTGACTTGGCGCCAAAAACACAATTTCCTGTGGTCGTATTTGAACGAACTCGTCCTAGAGCGTTTGACCCAGACTCACCAGAATCATTCTGCATCATCCAGACAAGTGCAACATTCAAAGTTGTTAAAAGCTTTTTAAAAGGTCAAACTGAAATTTCAGTTTTGTTTTTTCACAGAACTTGAGAGCGACGGTTTGGTTCAAGTTTGAGGTTAGGGTTGGTTCAGGAGTCAGAGCGTCGATATTCTGAGTCACCGACTCAAATGACTCGAGGGCAGTTTAGTTACAGACTTAATATTACAAACATGATCAGAGTTCAACTACACAGACAACAACAACAACAACAACAACAAGAGCCACGAGACCAGAACGAGACCAGAATGAGACCAGAACTGGACCAGAACGAGACCAGAACTGGACCAGAACGGGACCAAAACGGGACCAGAACTGGACAAGAACGAGACCAGAACGAGACCAGGACTGGACCAGAACGAGACTGGACCAGAACTGGACCAGAACGAGACCAGAACGGACTGGACCAGACTGACCAGACTGAGAACGAGACAGAACGAGACCAGAACTGGACCAGAACGAGACCAGAACGAGACCAAACGAGACCAAAACGAGACCAGACGGGACCAGAACGGACCAGGACTGGACCAGGACTGGACCAGGACTGGACCAGGACTGGACCAGGACTGGAGCGTGTCTCGTTGGATTTTGCTGCAGTTTGAGACTTTTACTGGAGCTAATGCTAATGCTCCTGAACTCCTGGATCATCATAATGTACAAACACACACACACACACACACACACACACACACACACACACACACCACACGAGAAGCTCCGTGTACAGAGAGTGTGTGATGTGTGTGTTTGTTGTGTGTTTGTTGTGTTTGTGTGTGTTTGTTGTGTGTTTGGTGTGTGTTTGGTGTGTGTTTGTGTGTGTTGTGTGTGTTGTGTGTGTGTGTGTGTGTGTGTGTTTGGTGTGTGTGTTTGTTGTGTGTGTGTGTGTGTGTGTGTGTGTGTGTTTGGTGTGTGTTTGTGTGTGTTTGTGTGTGTTTGTTGTGTGTTTGTTGTGTGTTTGGTGTGTGTTTGTTGTGTGTTTGTTGTGTGTTTGGTGTGTGTTTGGTGTGTGTTTGTGTGTGTGTTTGTTAAACACTGTTAGCCCGGAGCTAGCGGCTAATGCTATCGGCTAATGCTACAGCGGCCGTAC